TGCTGCTGCTATTATTATTATCGCTACTATTATTATTATCATAATTAATATTGTCATTATTAATATTATCACAACAATAGATCCATCATATAATTTAATTATATCTGCTACATTAAGTAAATTGCTTCTTAAATATAGGTCAAGTGAATTATTATTAACCAGTAAAAAAGAAATATTAAAAGTTATAAATGAATTCGTTATCGCAAGTCAATATTTATATGGAACAATTTATGAACCAAAATTTGATTCAGGTAAATTATTAAAATTATTAAATATTTATTTATAATAATTTTATACACACACACACACACATATTTTTTTTTTTTTTGGAAAACAATTAGATTACGATTTCACTACACCATTAATTTCATACAAAGATGAATTACTTGAAATATTTAGTTCAGCGTTATTATCAATTAATGAATATAATGAATTAAGATCGATCGGAGTAAATGGTATATATAATATGATATTGTTAGATAAATTTCTATCAGATGATGAAATATCAATCCTATTGCAGTATTATAATCAAATTATTTTAAATGAACTTGATCAAGAACTATTGTAAGTAAATAGTAATAATAATCATTATTGGTTATTATTAACAATGTTGATTTATTAATATTTATATTGTTTTATTCATTATTATTTATTATTTAATTTTACAGTAATTGGAGATTGATGTTTTTTTCTATCTGTAGATACATTTAAATATTTTATTATATTATTAATATATTTAATATCTTCCTAATAGCAAAATCATTTTGTTCTAAAAACTTTTTTGTGATCTCAATTGACTTTTTCCCATCTTGATGTGAGATTTTTGGTTCTTCATCATCACTTGTATCTTCTCCTATTGATGTTTGCGATGGATCTGTAATACCTTCAGCAAAGAAGAATTCCTTCTAGGATATCGTCATTGGTAGGTAATTCAGAGGTAGTTAAATTATCATCGATTTTAATATATTCTTCTACTTTCATTGTTATAGAAATACTAATGCTCAATGTTTTAAGAGATTATTCCAATTCAGTAATAATAGTATCATCCATTGTATTAGTCAATGGTAATATATTTGTATGTTTCCAACAATTTGCAATAGTTTATTGTTTAACAGAATCCCAAGCATCCGAAAGCATATCAATTGCTTCTTTTATATTTATTTTTTAATTTCTTTACCAACATCTAGATCCTGGATCATTTTTTGAATTAAAACATTC